AGTCAGAAAGGTCCCTACAATCAGCTGTTCCCGTTAAATTGTTGGTTTTCCCTCCTCAGTTGATCAGCTGACAGCCGAATGTTTTATGATCATTATTTTTACTTGTGTTTACCCTTGAGGATTTCTGAATATTCCTGGCCTCAACTGCGAATACCCTTAATTTGACTTATTTACTTTTACTTATTTACTTTACTTCTTAGTGGGGATTGTTGGCATTTCAAAAAAAAACAGCTGTCACTGGCCAGGGGCCTTTGTTTATGGTTTTCGATCCCAGAGGTTTCATTCATTGGAAATTCCCTAGAGTGATCCTTGATAAAAAGGGTAGTCCTGAGCACCCTCTAGTTGTAAGAGTTTGACAGTCGATAATCCACTAGTACTAATTTCAATTTTTTTATTTTCTATTTCCCTATTTTACTTCTAGGCGAGCTCTTCAGAGAAGATCTGTCGCCTTTCCTCTACTTGCTTCCGATCAGGGTTTTGACTGATCTGGGCCGAAATCTTTAAAGGCTGCTTCTCTGGCCCCAATTAAGTATAATTTTTTTTAGTTCAGATCAACAAAAAAAATCAGTAGTAACAAAACTAACTCTATTTGTCGCGAATGTCAAATAGAACACGCAATATAAGAAGAACAACGATGCGCCGATAACGTTCACGATGATCATAACGATATCTCCTTTTAAGAATCCGTACCGTAGCCAGAAGGAACTTCTGAAAATATACGGTATTAAGTCTAAGCCGTCAGTAAGCTGATTATAAGCTAATTATTCGACCACGCAGCCAAAGGACTTACCCTAGCACTCCCATCAAAAACGGTATTCCAGTGATATCTTCTGTACCTTTTCGCCGTATAATTTCGATGCAGATCGGGCTGTAAAGGAGAGATTACTAAAAAGAACGCTTTCGCGAAAAAATAGAAAAAATTGATTAGAAACGGCAAAAAAGTTGTATACTTGGTATATTAATAAAAACTGGAATTGGAATTTAACTCCAAATCCTTCAAGTAACAATATAAATACGATGTAAACTGAAGTTAGTGAATGGGCATAGTTCACACTCATGATATGGGCGGGGCCCGTCCTACCATTGTGTGCCTTATGGTACTCTTAGGGATCAAGTAAGTACAGTCCAAAAGAGAATCACACTAACATCCTTACTGGAAAGGGTGGTACTGACACAGCTATTTCCCATAGTGCCTGGTTGCCACCCCCCCCACCCCTTTTGAGACGCTTAGAAAAAAAGAAAGCCGACGAGAAAGGCTACTCTAAGGAATCTTCATTGCTCCTAAAGTGCAGTGCCTCTCAAGTTTTGAGTATGACAAAATATTTCGGGAAGTTCGGTTTAGGGGGTGGGGGTGAACATTTTGCACCTTTACAAAAGTTGAAAGAGATTTATTGCAAAAACTGACAAATATTTTCTCCAAACTCTGTAATGGCTGCACAGATCTCACAAGTCTCTACTTGACTGTTTGAAAGACAATGGGAATGACGCTTATGCAAAATGCCCCCCCCCTCTTCCTCAAGCTGTGCTTCGTCACAAATTTTTCTGGCGAATTGACCATAACCCCTTACCCACATCACCGTCCGGTTTGACCTCAAAATTCCTATTTCGGTAAGGGAGTGGTGATCAGCTGATGATCAGCTGATCATCAGCTGTTTGCACTTAACTTGTTTCGTCTACATTCAGGTTAGGCGAAAAGCGCAACTTTATAGGTGCTTTTTTATCAACTTTAGATTCGTCATGTTGCCTTTGAACTTTGCAAAAAACTGGTTACCACTTATTATCATTTAGGAGTACAATCTCATAAGTCATTATTGAGGACACCCGTAAATATAGCACAGATCAAAGTCAGGAGCATGCAAAAATTGAAAAAAAACAACTTCGCCAGTTTTCCACCGGTTTCTTCAAAAAATTAATTACTCTGGTTAATGTTTAATTTTTCCTTTTTCACCAAGTCGAACTGCGCCCAGCATTCTCATTTTAATTTATAATTTTATTTTGAACTTTCAAACGTAACTTCGTTCTGAGCAGAGATTTCAAGGCTTTTTCGTCTCCTATTCAGGAAAAAATCGGCTTGATCGGAAAATAAGGTGCTGTTTAGCTGTGGAGTGCTTTTATTAATTTCGCTTGTTCCTTTTACTAGTTCACGTTGCCTACCAGGAGAAGAGACCTGTAAACCCCTTGTGAAGCTGTAAAGCTGCATGTATAAGTGAGCTACTTGAATCACAAAATTTTACAGGTATTGGGTGGCCTGAGGTGGCTTCGCCAAGTATGCACCGTTCGTTGCCCCCACAAAGCCGAACTGTGCCGAAAATAAACTCAAAAAACAGTCATCAATTGTTTGTCCACTAACACCCGTCAGTAAATCTTCGCGGGCCCATGTGAGTCCTGTTTAGGGAACAAGTAGACCGGGAAGTCCTCCTTTCAAAATTTGTTTTTTTTCAGGTATTCAAAAGGATTTTTTTAGCAGGACGACCTCCGTCAAATCGGTTTCTGCAGCATCATCTGATATAGAGCTTCCGACGCTCTTCGACTTGGAGGGGACATTTTGCATTTCCGCTAGTTCGCTTTGTAAGTAACACGAGCAACGTCACTTTGAGAGACCCGTGAACTACTGTGAAGCAGCGAACTGGCACAAGTGAGCAGCATTAGTTGCAGGAATACAGGCCTTTACAAAGTGGCCTGTACGGCCTTCGGTGAGAACCATGGGTTGCCCCCACCTAGTCGAACTGCGCTGAATTTTTGGATAAGGGTTGAGAGATGCCTGTGAGTCAGGAAAGTCCCTAAACTGAAATGCCCACGGACCTTCCTCTGATATGCATAATAAATATATTTTTTGAGCATTTAATTTAACGCAGTTCGACTTAGTAGAGGCACCAAGTGGTACTCAGCGAAGCTCCTACTGGCCACCCCGGGAAGTCATGTAAAGTCCTGTAACCGAAGTGAATCGCTCGTACCGTATCGGCTTCTCAAGGCTTTATCAAAAAAACTAGCGTTATTGCAAAATGCCCCCTCCCACCCCTCCCAAGGCGAACAACATTTTCCAAAGAAAATTTGAGTTAGTGAAATGGAAGCTTCACTCACATTCCGCATAGAAACAGGCAAACTGTAGTTAGAATTGCTGAACACGAGAGAATTTGTAGAAATGTCTGTACATCCATAGTAAGCTGAAAATCAACATTATTATTGTATAGTATGAACCAATAGGCAGTAAATGTCGAAAGAAATACGGTATGGTTACGGTATTTTGGAGAGCGCGAAGGAAAACTTTGGGCAGACGAGATTATGGGGTGATCTATAAAGACCACCCATAACAGTCACACCACCCGATCAATCAAACCGCTAGAAGAGTGGATCAGGCAGGATGCTACGTTAGAAACGAGTTTTCTTTTGATTACGAAAAAGGGTTCAGAGTACGTTCAGAGACAGGAGATCACGTTCCAGGACCTGGATCTGTGTGGGTCCAAGAACTGTTCACGGCCCAAAGTGTCACCAACGCTTTATATACCCCCACATAGTGAAGAAACCGCCTCCTCGTTCGCGCCTTCCCTCCCTCCCACTGTGGGGCATGGTCGCGTGGACATATGACTATGCTGTAATCACAACATATACACATACACCACGAGAAGAAACTAAAGGATTAGTACGTTCTTTGTACTGCGCACGTGCGTACTTTCAGGACAATCCCACCGGGATCGTTCTGGCCACTCAGCGAAAAAACTATCAAGCGCCAGACTCAGCAGCAAGGGCGGCCAGCAGTAGTCAAAGGGTTGCGAATTCAAGTTTGAGAGACACACCTTGCTGCGCCCCAGCGCCGTCAACAGCAACTGTACTGGAGCGTTTCCGCGTTCATCAAAAGGTCGAACGACGGTCAGTCAGCCATAAACAGTGGGTGAAAACGATCAATCCCCACGCCTTTCTTGGGCTGGAGCAGTAGAGCCGAGGAAGAAAGGGGAATGACGCGGAACGCATCGAAGCTCGACCAACTGCACCATCGGAACTTCTTCACCGGAACTCCAAACATCCGGACAGCTATTGAACTTCTGATCGCGTCTTCTCCAAAAGCGAACTCAGTGCTGTTCCGCAAAGGGGGGGGGAGTGGGAAGGGGAGGGCGTTCTGCACGTTCGGTAGTTTCACCTGGCGTTTGTGCTTTCTGCTTCCTCGGGCCCAATTACATTCTTCTTCAGCAGTAGCACTTGACGCGACTTCTGCATGACAGCCTAGTTCTGTCTTCGCTCTGAGAGAGCAACCCCTAGTATGAGAATATGGCGCTGTTCGGATTAAAGGGTGCATTTCGCTTTTCGCTAGTTCCTCTTGCTACCTCCTGTTAATTTTCATGTGTCACCTTGGTAAGACCTGCAGACACTTGTCAGGTGTAACCAAAACTCTCGGCATTGCGGCAGACTGACAGGTATTTACAGGTTTCCACGAGGGCATCAGAAGTGATCGATGGCGGCCAGGAAAAGGCCCCCAAGGCAAACTGCACCGCAAATTTCTTTGTTATTCCAAACCATACATTCTTTTCCCCTTACACTTCCAATTGATTTTTCTCATTTGTTTTTCTTTTCTCGGTTGTGTTCATGGTTCGCGGCATCCGTGCACTTTGGGGTGTTCATAGCTCGCGACATAGTTGCACTTTGAGGACCTCATGACTAGGATTAGAGACGTATCTGTCCCTTTTGGTACGGTAGACGAGCGATTCTTTGGGTCACGTGACTTTCAGCGATTAGCGATGAAGACCCGATTTCGAAACCGAAATCGCTTATGAGTAAACAAAATGATGAAGAGGTCGGGTGATCACTGGTTTCAAACTATGAACGCTCCTTTACTTTGTAGTTATGCTATTGTGTCGTCGTTGGTAGTTTTTCTTGTGATCTGTTGCCCTCCTTTATCGGACGCTATCGCTTGTTATCGCCTGGTGTCGCACACTGTCGCATCATTCATTCCCATTTTTCTGCACCTACAGTCATCCACTGTCATCCCGTGCCGCATGGTGTCTTACAGTAGCTTTATGTCAACGTATGACGCATACAGCCACTCCAGCGTCAGCTACCACTCTGGAGTAGCCAACAGACTGCCACCTATCCACCTGTAGTCTTGCAGCGTGTATACTCTGCCGCTTCTCTTATTCTACATACCCCAAACATGGAGAGGGCGTGACTCGTTTAAACGTAGCGACCGCTACCCTTTCGGTTAGGATATTACCGTTTCGGGACAGCTGTAATCACTCTTGCCTAG